ACTTTCCTGCCTGGGCTGACTTTGAACCGCGATCCTCAGATCTCAGCCTCTTGAGTAGTTAGGATTACAGTTGTAGCCACTGGTGCCCGGCTCACTTATAACAATTTAAAGTGGCTGCTCTCCCTCTCTCCTTCCCTCCCTCCCTCCTTTCCTTCCTTCCTCTCAGCAAGGCCCTAGGTTGGAATCCCAGTCCAACCAAAAAAGAAAGAGGGAAAGAAAAAGAGGGGAGGAGAGACAGAAAGCAAGCAAGCAAGGACGAAAAAAAAAGGAAGGAAAGGCAGGCAGGCAGGAAAGAAGGCAGGTAGGCAAGAAGGGGAGGAGGAAGGGAGAAAGGGAGGGGGACAGGGAGGTAGGAAGGGAAGAGGACAGGAAGGAAAGGAGAGAGGGAGGGAAAGGAAGGAAGAGAAGAAGGAAAGAAAGGAGGGAGGGAAGTAGACTAGCAATTCTTAGGAGTCTAAGTAAGAGGGAATGAGAAGAGTTGGGCACTAGCAGCTCACGCCTATAATCCTAGCTACTCAGGAGGCTGAGATTTGAGGATTGCAGTTCAAAGCCAGCCTGGAAGGTTGAGGACTCTTTTTTTTTGGGGGGGGGGTCCGGTCGTGGGGCCTGAACTCTGGGCCTGGGTGCTGTCCCTCAGCTCTTCAGCTCAAGGCTAGCGCTCTACCACTTGAGCCACAGCGCCACTTCCGGCTTTTTTCTTTTTGCTTATGTGGTGCTGAGGAATTGAACTCAGGGCCTCAGGCATACAAGGCAAGCGCTCTACCACTGAGCCACCTTCCCAGCCCCGGTTGAGGAGACTCTTATCTCCAGTGAACCACCAGAAAAACCAGTGGCACTGTGGCTCAAGTGGTAGACTGTGGTCCTTGAGCAAAGGACAGCACCAAGGCCCTGAGTTCAAGACTCAATACCAGCGCAAAGTAAAACAAATAAACTGGAAGGTCCTGTTATTTGTTATCTCTAGTCCTCAGATACCTTTTTCTTTTTTTCCTTTCTTTCTTTCGCCAACCCTGGGGCTTGAACTCTGGGCCTGGGCACTGTGCCTGAGCTTCTTTTCTACCACTTGAGCCACAGCAACACTTACTGCTTTTCCTGCTTATGTGGTAGTAAGGAATCAAACCCAGGGCTTCATGCATGCTAGGCGAGCACTCTACCACTGAGCCACAGTCCCAGCCCCATGTTGCTGTTTTTTTGGTTGAAGTCAACGGAGAAACAGAACCTAATGCCCTGTGGGGCAGCATCCACGCCCGGATTTCCTGGCCGACAGCACCCCCTGGTGTTAGCTTCCATTAATGTCCTGAGCTCCCCGGGACGCTGGGCTGGGCAAAAACCAGTTAGTGGCAATTGGTTTCAAGAGATTTTCTGCCATGGATTGCTGTCTAAGAAGTTACCTGCCTTTTGAATCTTGAACACGTGCTGCCTGTGTGTTTAAAATGAGGGTTTGCAATCCGGACACTAGTGGCTCACATCTCTAATCCTAGCTACTCAGAGATCTAAGAGGATCATGGTCCAAAGCCAGCCTGGCCAGGAAAGTCTGTGTGACTCAACTCTAATGAACTATTAAAAGCCAGAGCTGTGGCTCAAGTGGTAGAGCAAAATAGCTCAGGAACAGTGCCCAGGCCCTGAGTTCAACCCCCAGGACTGAACAGATAAGACACACACACACACACACACACACACACACACACACACACACACACACACACACACACACACACACACACCTGCCTTCATAGGGCTTAGAAGTTTTAAACTTGCTTGGCTGAAAGGCTTTGGTGAGTTCTGACGAGGACTGACTGCTTTCTTTGGTAATTCGTATGCAGGGGACACATCAGCACGTTGGAGCCGTTCTGAAAGGAATCACTCAGGGTGAAAACTTGAAGTGAAGTGAAGAGAAGGGAAAAGAAGAAGTGTGCAGGTCATCGCAGGCTCTTCTGAGATGGGAGAGGCTGCTCCACTTCTGTGCGAGACATCGGGAGCCCCTGTGGCAGGGCCCCACCTTCTCCCTCACTCCACCTGACCACACTTTGGCTGAGATTCGCATCTGTGTCCCATCTGTCTGGGGAACAGACTTGTGAGCACAAGGGATCTTAGGACAGTCTCACTCTGTGGACAACAAAGTATGCAAGACATAGCTGTATGATATACCAACACATTTTAAAGAAAACACTCAAGATGTGTTTACTTGTGTGTGTGTGTGTGTGTGTGTGTGTGCGCGCACACAAGTACTGGGACTTGGACTCAGGGCCTCGCACTCTTGCTTAGCTTTTGGTACTCAAGGCTGGTGCTCTACCACTTGAGCCACACCTCCATTTCTGGCTTTTTGCTGGTTAACTGGATCTAAGAGTCTCCTGGACTTTCCTGTCTGGGTTGGCTTTCAAACCAGACCATTGTAGCCCTGACTGCTGCTTCGCTCATCTTTATTTTCTTTCTCCAGGTCTTCAGGGGCCCCAAGGAGTCCCCTTGTTTCTCTGGACAATATTCCCTACTCCCTTGTGTGGAAGAAGAGCCAGCAAGCGGAGCTCCTGGGTCCACGTTCACTGGCTTGGGTGTCAGGAAAGGTATGGACCACTTTGATGTGCATTAACTAGAAGTTCAAAGAAGAGCCAGGTGCTGGTGGCTCATGCCTGTCACTCTAGCTACTCATGAGGCTGAGATCTGAAGATCATTGCTTGAAGCCAGATGGGGCAGGAAAGTCCATGAGACTCTTATCTCCAATGAGCCACCAAAAAGCCATAAGCAGTTTTGTGGCTCATTGAGGTATAGTGGCAGCCTTGAGCAGAAAAGCTCAGGGACAGCACCCAGGGCCTGAGTTCAAGTCCAGGACCAAGAAAGAAAGAAAGAAAAAAGAAAGAAAGGAAGGAAGGAAGGGAAAGAAAGGAAGGAAGGAAGGAAGAAAGGAAGAAAGAGAGAGAGGGGGAGGGAGGAAGAAAGAAGAGGAAGGAAGGAAGGAAGGAAGGAAGACAAAGCAAGAATGTTGGCTTAATGAGCTGTGGAGTAGGTTCGTGGTGGTGTGATTCCTTAGTTTGTATAAAGTCCTTTGACAGGAGAGGGGAGGGTGTTAGGTTTCTACAAAGAGATAGCCGAGTAAGAACAGCACCACACACGTGGTATTCAGGTAAGGGGTAGGTTTATTCATTGTTCTGGCTGGCACCAGGCCATGATGGCCCTCCACACAGCTGGGAAAGAGCTGGGAAAGAGGTGGGAAAGAGCTGAGAAAGAGCTAGAAAAGAAGCCGGGCGCTGGTGGCTCACGCCTGTAATCCTAGCTACTCAGGAGCCTGAGATCTGAGGATCGCGGTTCAAAGCCAGCCCGGGCAGGAAAGACCGTGAGACTCTTATCTCCAATAAACCACCAGAAAACCGGAAGTGGCCTGTAGCTCAAGTGGTAGAGCGCTCGCCTTGAGCTGAAGAGCTGAGGGACAGCGCCCAGGCCCAGAGTACAGGCCCCACGACCGACAAAAAAAAAAACAAAAGAGCTAGAAAAGAGAAGAGAGAGCTGGGAAAGAGAAGAGAAGGAAAGAGCTGAGAAAGAGCTAGAAAAGAGCAGAGAGGGGGTCTGGGCCTGGGCTAGGCCTTATCTAGGGTATGGGTGGAGAAAGGTGTGGCCACATCAAATTCAGATGTGACCTCTTCCAGGTGTGCCAGTTGCCTAGGTAACGCAGGTACTGGGTGGAGACTTTGCTGCGAGGAGGGTGGAGTCTGCTGGCCATCCAGGAGCGGACCTTACAGAGGGGAATGGAGGAAAGAGGAGTAAGGGAGGGAGGAGGAGGAGAATGAAGATGAGAGGAGGCGGAGGACTGAGGGGAGGAGATGGCTGTGGCTGGGCTATTCTATTCCTCCAGGTCCTTACAACCCCCCAACCTGTCCCCACTGCACCCCTGTCCCCTCTCCACCCCGCCCCCACTCCACCCCTGCCCCCGCCCACAAAATGACATCAGAGCTCCTCACCGTCCCCAGGGCGCCCAGCGACTCAGGCGGGGATCTCCCTGTCCTGGGATCTGACCAGCCACAGGGGTCGCAGGCTGGCCCTCGGGGGTCTTCCGTTATCTTCGGTAGAGGGGTGGGGGGGAAGGTTCTGGTGGGAGGAGTCTCGTGGGAGGAGCTTCCAGTGGGAGGAGCTTCCAGTGGGAGGAGCTTCCCGGGGAGGAGCCTCCGGCCTGTGGTGAACAGCTCATCTCCTCTTCCACTCTGATGCTCCTTCCGGGTCAGCATCCCTCCGGAGCCTTTTGGTACCTAACTTGCCAGGTTGAGGACCCGGTGGTCGGGAGGCGCAGTTCCTAGACCGGACGCCAGAGGGCGCCGTGCGCAGGGCCCCGGGCGCCGGGCGCGCGCCCTGGCGCGGACACGAAGCCCTGGACGGTTTGTTCTTGGCACCGACGGTGAACTTTGGCCCGAGGAAGTCATCCGAGCCCAAGCCCCAGATTCTGGCTCGGCAAAGCGCGGTGACTGCGCGGCAGCCACGGGCGCTCTAGCTGGGACTGCGGCGCGAGCCCCGGCTGCCCGGCTCAACCCCAGGCTCCGTGTCACCTGGAGACAGAAGGCGGCCTGTGGGTGCCCCGTACCCCGGCCTAGCGCGGCAGACGGCAGCGGCCACACGGGGGGCCTTTCCTGGCCGGGTGGCCTTGGGCGTCCCGATCCCCCCTTCCCCTGGCCCAAACTGCCTACTTGACACATTCGGGGCCATGGTCCTTGGGAAAGCTTCTGGAAGCATCTCCAGACTGTAGCTGGTTCAAGGCCAGCCCTGGGGTGTCCGCAGGCCTGGCCTCGGTTCCCCGGCTTTCCACCTCTGGCTTCCTGCCCCGGGGCGCGGGGTCCATGCGCCGGGGGGATGGTGTCAGGGGTGGGGGGGGGTCTGGGGACCCATCTCTACGGCCTTGACCAGCAATCGGGGACGAGCTTCCGTCCCGGATCCTGCCCCAACGGAGCAGGGATGGGCGGGCAGCGCCCTTCTCCGAAGGCTGGAGGGCGGGGCCTGCGCGGGGGATCAGGGTTAAAGGATCAGGGTTCACGGCCTCAGACTCCCCACGGGCTCGGCGCCGCAGCAGCCGGGAGAGCAGGTAACCGGGCGCCTCGGGGGCGGGGCGGGGTGGGACGATCTGGGACCCAGGAGAGCCTCCCGGGGCCCGGGACGCGGCTGGGAGAAACTGAGGCACCCAGAGGCTTCACCTAAGACGGCGCATCCGGACACACCGGCGCTCACCTGCCTGTAGTCCCGGGAGTGGGTGTGTGAGATGCAGATGAGCGCATCCCACGAGCCGATGCCTGGTCCAGCATGCGCACAGCCGGCTGGCGGCGGGGGGGGGGCGGCAGGGGGGAGAGGGGGTCCAACTCCGGTTTGGTGCGGGGCTAAGATGGGTCCGGACTCGCGGGGCGGGGGCCATGGGCAGCCGGGCCATGAGGGTCAGCCCTGCGCTCCTGCCACCCAGGAGAGCAAGGCCAGCCGGGCACCGAGGGACTCAGGCGTGTCAGATCCAGAGGATCGCGGTTCCAAGCCAGCCCCCCCCCCCACCAAAGGGCAGGAACAGTCAGGAGACGCCCATCCCCAGCTCAGCGGCAGAAAGCCAGCCGTGCAGTGTGGCTGGCCCTGGCCCTGACTCAGGCAGTGAAACGCAGCCTGCGGCCCCAAGCCAGGCGGGTCTGTATCCTGTGCACACGCAGGAGGAGTGTGCACAAGCCCAGGACCGAAGCTGTGCAACTTCCCAGACGCAGAAAGCGCTGAGGACCGCGGCCTTGTCTCTTTTTTAAAAATTCCTTTTATTAGTGTGCATATTTGTCTGTTGAGCAGTGCTGGTGATCACACCCATTTAATAGTGGGCTTCATCTCTGATAGTGTTACAAACAAAGAAAGGAAGAAGTCCCAGCATTGGCACAAAAATACATACACACAAATGCTTGCACTACCAAAAGTGCTTGGTCAATACCAAGCCCACTTTCTCCAGCCCTTCCCTCAACACATCGGCCTGAAGAGGAAGAGGAAGGCCTCCTCTCCCCCACCCTGGCTGTAAGAAACAGAACCAGCCCCGCTATTTTCCTGTTCTATTTTACTTTTAGTTTTGTTTTTGCGGATACTAGGGACTGGAACTCAGAGCCTTAACTTCCTTGCTTCAGGCTGATGCTCTACCACTTAAAACACGGCTCCACTTCTGGCATTTTTCTCCCTTGTACTTTTTCCACAGGGTGATCATTATGTCCACCAAGGTCCAAGACATCATGCAGCTGCTCTGCTTCATCTGTAAGCAGGAAAAAATGCAGGCTGCTGTGAAGCGTTCTGGGAAGGGCGCCCTGATCACTGGAGCCGGAGCCTTGATCGGTGGCATGGTTGGTGGCCCTCCAGGAATAGCTGTTGGTAAGTATGACTCTTTCACACACACACACCGCTGTTTGGGCTGGCGTTGTTCAAACAGTGTTTGAAAGCATGCTAGAGGATCACAGTTAGAAGCAGCCCAGGCAGGATAGTCCATGAGACAGTACCTCACGCTCTTGCTTAGCTGGCTGTCCCCCAGCTCAGCTTTTTATTCGCTCACTAGGGAGCAGAGTTGCTGGTATTACAGTCATGCGCTTCTGGTGCCTATCTATGACAGAAGTTTTATTTTGGGTGAAATGTGTGAGGGGGACGGTGCCTTTCTTTGGCCTCTGTGTGTGTGTGTGTGTGTGTGTGTGTGTGTGTAGGGGGTGTTGATCAGCACAGGTGTTCAGTGGAGATGGGGAATGGAGAGGGGGCTTCATTGTGTATCTGTAAGTGTGGGCAACTAGGGCAAGAGACATACTTGGGTATCCAATAATTAAAGATGCTGAGCACTGGGTGGCTCACGCCTGTAATCCTAGCTACTCAGGAGGCTGAGATCTGAGGACTGAGGTTCAAAGCCAGCCCAGGAAGGAAAGTCCGAGAGACTCTTATCTCCAATAAACCACTCAGAAAACCGGAAGTGGTGCTGTGGCTCAAGTGGTAGAGCACTAGCCTTGAGCTAAAGAGCTGAGGGACAGAGCCCAGGCCCAGAGTTCAAGCCCCACAACCAACAACAACAACAACAAAAATTAAAGATTCCATAAAACTTGTTTTTGTTAGTCCTGGGGCTTGAGCTCAGGGCCTGGGCACTGTCCCTGTGCCCTTTTGCTCAAGACTGCACTCTACCACTTTGAGCCACAGCTCCACTTGCAGGTTTCTTATGGCTCTTTAGAGATAAAGAGTCTCAGGACCTTTCCTGCCCTGGCTGGCTTTGAATGCAATCCTCAGATCTGTGTCCTGTGTAGCTAGGGATGACAGGTGTGAGCCACCAGTGCTCAATTTCTGTAAATCCTAAGTCACTTCAGGTGGCTCATACCTGTCATCCTAGCTACTCAAGAAGCTGAGATCGAGAGGATCATGGTTCAAAGCCAATCTGAGCAGGAAAATCTGTGAGACTCCTCTGTCCAAGGAACCACCCCCAAAACCAGAAGCACAGCAGTGACTTAAGTAGTAGAGCACCAGCCCGAGACAAACAAAGCTCAGGGACAGTGCCCAGATCCCAAGTTCATGCCCTAGGACTGGCACAAAAATACCCCCAAAGAACAATGCCAACCACAAAAAAATAAAAATAAAATAAAACCTTTCCTTCACAGTATGGAGAGGCTTTGAGTGGGAACCTTGGGTTAGCCCAGTAACGACTCTCTGGCCTTTGTGTTTTCTAGGGGGCGTTGTCGGGGGTCTTCTCGGAGCCTGGATGACCAGAGGCCAGTTTAAGCCAGTCCCGCAGATCTTGATGGAGCTGCCCGCCTCTGAGCAGCAGAAGCTGTTTGCCCAAGCGATGGCCATTTTGCGGGGTTTGGACTGGACGGACGTGAAGCAGCTCATAAAGCTGGTCACGGGCAGCGAGAGTTACCAGCAGCAGCTGCTGGCCCTCGTGATCTGCTATTTCACCAAACATCTGGGGGCCCAGATTCAATATAGGAACTAGATGGCTGTCTCTCACTGGAAGCCGGGGGTTGCTCGGCCGCAGATGCAACCTTGGTGCTGAGTTCTAATCCTGCGGGTGTTTGAGACCAGCTGGGGTTTGTGTTGCAGTGGATTTGGATCCCAACAAACCTGTGATGTCCAAGAAGGGAAGAAAGCACTCTAGTGCTGAGTTTAAGCCTCCCTACTGGCACCAAAAGAATAAAACAAAAGCATGGCTTCCTGAAAGCATGTTTTCCCCATTGTTCTTTCTGTTTCTTTAGGGAACTGACCACAGCCTGTAGTTACTGGGTCAAAAAACAAAAAATGACAAGGGATTGAGTTTTAACAATTAGAATAGCCAGGTGCAGTGGCACACACCTGTAGTACTATTTTATGAGAATTCCATTATGAGGTACAGAAAAGCCAGAGACTGCATGGTAGTCTCCTGTCTGAAGACCTGTAGCCTTAAATACACTTAACACGGTTGGAAAACTAAGCCATGAAGCCAGGCGCCTGTAATCCTAGCTACTCAGGAGCCAGAGATCTGAGGATCTCGGTTCAAAGCCAGCCCGGGCAGGAGAGACCGTGAGACTCTTGTCTCCAATAAACCACTAGAAAACCTGGAAGTGGCGCTGTAGCTCAAGTGGTAGAGTGCTCGCCTTGAGCTGAAGAGCTGAGGGACAGCGCTCAGGCTCAGAGTTCAAGCCCCACGACTGGCAAATAAAAAAAAAGAAAACTAAGCCATGAGGATAGCAAAGCAAATAGCCGAAAAACAATGTCAACAAACCAGATCAACAGCAAGAGCTGGAGTTCGTGGTATAGAACAAGCAGGTCCAGTAACCCGTTGTCCAAGTCCTAGCCCTGCCTCTAGGAGTTCAGGCATGCCCATTCCCTGGGAGGGGACTTCACCTTCCTCCACCGCGAAGACAAGTTGGTGCCAGCTAAACTCAATTTCCTACCGTCCACCACGCTGCCAAGGTGGCATCTGTGTATCCTGAGTTCATTCCCCACTGGTTTTATGCACATCAGTGAAATCGTTGATTCTTTAGTGAGCGGGTGGACTGGGCCTTTAGGATCCAGTTATTACGAGTTGAAACAACGTTTAGGAGGGAGGCTTTCTTACCCTAGATCTGTTTTATTAGTGCAAACACTTCACGTTTTCCCGGAGGTTATGCAGAGACCCCTCTTTGCTTGGTGTCTGTACTGATCCCAGCTGCAATCTGAGGAGTCTGTAGCAGTGAAAGTTGGCTTTGTATGACTGACCCCTATCTAGTCTGGAGGCTTTGGACTCAAACACAACGAGCAATCCTTTCCGAGGTCAGGCTGGGTCAGATCTACAAATATCTGCATCACAGACACAAAGGAGGCTCCAGGGGAAGGGGTTGACAGAAAGGGTGATGGGTCACGTGATGCGAAAGTCTTAGCTCCAGCAGATCCGAAGTGGTGTGTGCCTTCCGTCCTGAGTCAGCAGGTTTTAGCTGTGTGTGAAGCCAGGCAGAGTCCCATCTACTTTTACCACGGGGTGGGGGTGAGGGGGTGGGGGTGGGGGGAGATGATCCAGATGTATGGTCCCTTCCAGGTGGCTGTGAGGCCATCCTCAATGAAGTTCTCACCTGAAATGGAATCTCTGAGTTGGAGAGGAGGGGCTGGATCAGAGCTGGGCTCCTTTATATGCCTTCTGCTGAGTTGCCTGCAAGTTCTGCAGAGATTTAAGTTGAGGGAGCATTATTAACGTACCCTAAGGCAGGGGGGCCTGACTTCAGTGAAATCTGTCTCCCCCTGCTCTCCTGACTGCTTCCTCTGAGAATGCTGGCTTGGATGACGGGCTAGGGCCAGAAACAGTCAAAAACATATTTAGGGGCCCCACTGGTGTGTGTGTGTATGTGCGTGTGTGTGTGTTTCTTTTTCTTTTTATAAACAAGATAGAACAAAAATCATCAGAATCGGGGCTGGGAAGGTGGCTCAGCTTGCATGCATGAAGCCCTGGGTTCGATTCCTCAGCACCACATAAGCAAAAAGAAAAAAGTCGGAAGTGGCGCTGTGGCTCAAGTGGTAGAGTGCTAGCCTTGAGTTGAAGAGCTGAGGGACAGTGCCCAGGCCTAGAGTTCAAGCCTCACGACCGGACCCCCCCCCCAAAAAAAATAA